GCTGACGGGGCGACCAGGTGAGGGTCAGCTTCGGGCCGTTGAACGGGAGCAGGTAGGGCAGGTGCTCGACGCCGACTTTCTTTACCTGAAGTAGAGCTTGGGCTAGGTTTAGGTTTAGGCTTAGTTTTGGGCTTCGGTGTAACTTCGGCTTAGGCTTTGGCTTGGACCAGGCTCGGGCTTACTTATAGGCTTAGGCTTAGGCTAGGGTAGGCTTTAGATTAGGCCTAGGCTTAGGCAAAGGCTTAGGCTTCCAACCTCAACCGACACCCATCCCATCAGGCGCTTGTCGGTGGCGCCGGCTTTCTGGAGCAGGCTCGCCCAGCACGGGCCCGCCTCGAAGTAGGGGTGGCCGCGCAGGTGCAGGGTCCGACGGCACGCCTTCTTGAACTTGTCGACCAGGCCGGGCCAGGTCGGGCCGTCCGTCTGAGCAAAGGGTTTTGAGGCTCACTTCTGGAGCCCCACCTCAACCGGCAGCAACTTCCAGGTCTCGCAGCACGGCAGGCGGACGTCGGGGAATTCGGTGATGGTCGGGTCGAACAGGATGACGAACACGTTCTCTGCGCGGCCTAGCAGCCATTGTGTCGTGTGCGCGTCGTACTGGACGTGATCGATCTTGATCTGGGTCTCCTTGGTCCCGTCGGCCCTCGGGATTCCGCGCACCGTCACGCGGCTCAGCCTGAAAGGTTTAGTTTCGCTGTTCTGGTTCGTTAGCGGGGGGGGGGAGTTGAACGGGCAAATTTTTGTCAATAGTTTCTCTATTTTTGAACTGTGGATAAAACCCCCAGTATATTTTTGAAGTATTCTCAAAAAATAATGTAAAATTGAAAATCGACGCCACCGCCCCCCAACGAAAAAAAACCGTTTGAAGCATGTCTTAACCAAAAACTGATCCCGTCCCTCTCGAGGTCGAGCCAATTGACCTACGCGAAATCGGTCACGTAGCGCCCGGTGTGGATGAAGCGCGGCACGGCTTTCAGCGCGCTGAAGTAATCCCAATGGTCGAGCCCGTCGGCGACGATGCGGAGAAGTTCGAGCGGCATGTCTTGAATGCGACGGCAGACGGGCATCTGCTCAAGGTACTCCTTGTTCTCCCGGGCGATCGTCGCGTTTTTCAGCAAGATCCAGGCGTCGGCAAAGGGGACGAAGTGGTAGTCGATAATGTAGCCGTCGAAGACCGTATCAACCGTCTCCCAATATTTCGGCATCTGCCGGATGCGCAGCTTGAAGTCGTCGTCAACGCCGGCCACATTCAGCAGCGACTCCGGATCGAGGGGCCACATCACCGTGGCGAAGAGGTCGTCGGGAAGCGCAGAGAGCGCTGAACAACCATTATAAAAATTGTAATAAATGGGAAATTTAGATGTCGGGTTCTGGACCCTTAACGGAGAAGCGGTAAATTTTTCTCCGCTCTGATAAAAGTAGAAACAGTTCTTGGTACTTTCACAATATCGGGGAAGGAGGACGATTTTTTTCGTGTTATGCAAATTGAGTGTTTTACTCCTGTTTCTAGTAAGGGACACACACAAACCGGTTGCTGAGGAAAAAATTTCGCCCCCCCCCCGCCCCGATAATTCTAAAGAACCGAAAAACCTTATTTTGAACTTTGGGGACCGTAAAGTTTGTTCAGCATTTTTCAAGAACCGCTACCGTTTTCCCCATCAAGGGACTCCACATCCGCCGTGTACACTGAGATCGATCGCGTAGCCCCTAAAAAGCTTCGGATTATCACAAAAACCGATCGCCTCCTACCAGTATCCGTCAAGTCGCTCAGGTCTTCGTAATGGGCCGACCCTATCACCTCGAAATGATCCTCGGCCAGCGCCGACGCGTCCCAGAAGAACAACGCCGTGCTCGACGAGGTCGCCGAGGAGGACGAGCTAAAAGAGTAATTTTTACGTGACGTGCTTTGTAAACGAGTGAAAGCCAAGTTGAGAGAGACTTATACCTCGCATACGAAGCGAGCCGGTGGTGATTGCGGAAGGCAGATGAAGACCACGAGAGGTCGACCAGCTCCTCGCTGGGCAGAGACTCCCTGAAAACACGCAGCTTTCAATCGTTTTTCATGTTTTCTAACTACTTTTCTATTATTTTGGTTTTTTCAGATAAAATATGGATAACTTTTCATTAAAAAACTTGTTAAGATCTAGAGGTGCGATGCCTGATAACCCGAGACGGCTTAAGTGGTTTACCCCCCCTCCACCGCAGCCGACCCCACCTACCGTATCTCGGCTCCCTGTTCATCTACAGGTATTTAAAGTATACCAAAATGTTCGTCTTGCTGTGGCGAGTATTTTGGCATACTTTACACACCTGTAGATGCCCAGGGAGGACGGGATACAAAATGGGTGAGAACCGGCTGGGACTGCACTCGACCTTTGGTGACCTTCCGCCCTGTAGGACAACCTTAAGCCCTAGATGCGGTAGGCTAGCATCGCATGCGTATCTGCGTATTCAAAGTAACCGTTGTGATATGACGACAAACCGACGAGCGCGTTTCGCGCGATTTTTAATCGCGCAAGCAGATGACAGAAGAAAATACCATTCATCAGAAGATGGGGAAACGCCAGTTGAAGGTGTCATAGATGGCGTGAGGGAGATGCAAGTGGACGGCGTCGGCAGGAATTCGCTCCTGAAATTTGGTATAAGGGAACAGTTACGTATTGGCAAGTAGTGACTAAAATATGCCTAGTTATTCGCGAAAAGTTGTCCCAAAACCCCCGAAAAAATAATACCAGTATGACGGTGGAGAGGTGGCGGTCGATGGCGACGTGGTCGGCGTCAAGGCATAGCAGGTAGAGACGCACCACGAGGCCGTCACAGGAGATGCGGACGGCGTGGCGTCGATCCCGGTCGAGACATCGGACGAGGAGAAGGAGATACTCGCCGACATGGCGAGCACTCGGAAAATGATATTCGATCAGAGCTGGCGGCTCGTTCCTGCTTTTCCGGAAGTGCGCCCAGTAAGCTGATTTTTATTCCGATTTCCGGCCGGGATTCAAAGTAGTTTTTTTTTGTTAATCTAGAAATGCCCAGTAACCTAATAGGAAGTCCTTTCATAATCAACTATAATAATTTTGCTGTGGTCTCCGTCTGTCTGTCTGTCTGTGTGAAGCCGAATTCAACTCGAAGGGGAAAGGAGCTAGAGCTTAGCTCTCTTCGGATTCGGATAGAGCGCCGTCAGAAACCCCCAAACTGATAAAAAAATTACGAAAAAGTTTTTGTTTAAATTATTAAAATTAACTTTGAAAGTGGCGCCTTAATAAAACGAGTGGGGGCCCCTCTCCCCGGGAGGCCACGCCCCCTTTCTCTTCGCCCCTCTTCCCCAGGCCCCTTCGCGCGCCCAGATGCCTTTTTGAGTTACTTTAATACTTTTAATACTTTTTAATTATGTTAATTAATTATTTAAATTATTTAAAGTATCTGAAGCCATCGGGAAGGGATTTAGGTAGTTTTGAAGGGATTTCAGCCATGGGGGTATCTGAAGCCATCGGGAAGGGATTTAGGTAGTTTTGAAGGGGTTTCAGCCATGGGGGTATCTGAAGCCATCGGGAAGGGATTTAGGTAGTTTTGAAGGGGATTTCAGCCATGGGGGTATCTGAAGCCATCGGGAAGGGATTTAGGTAGTTTTGAAGGGATTTCAGCCATGGGGTATCTGAAGCCATCGGGAAGGGATTTAGGTAGTTTTGAAGGGATTTCAGCCATGGGGGTATCTGAAGCCATCAGGAAGGTATTTAGGTAGTTTTTGAAGGGATTTTAGCCATGGGGGGTATCTGAAGCCATCGGGAAGGGATTTAGGTAGTTTTGAAGGTTTCAGCCATGGGGGTATCTGACCATGGGAGGTTTTGGTAGTTTTGAAGGGATTTCAGCCATGGGGGATATCTGAAGCCATCAGGGAGGTATCTAATTAGGTTTTGAAGGGATTTCAGCCATGGGGGTATCGAACCATCAAGGGAGGTATTTTGGTAGATTTTTTCAGCGGAATTTCGACCCGGAGGTATCTGAAGCCATCGGGAAGGTAGCTTCTGCTTTTTGTGGGGGGTTGGCTAGAGGAGGTATCTGAAGCCATCAGTGTGATTATTGCCATGAAGGCATCAGCGTAAGGTAGGGTTAAATGTGGTGGTGTAGAATATGGAGGGTGGCCCGAAGGTCAGCCGATTGCAGTCATGAAGCGACTGTAATCGACTGGTGGTTATATCTTTTAGTATCTTTTAGTAGAATAAAATTATATTCTAGCTAGAAGAAGTAGCTCATATTTTTGAAAAAGGCGAGAGCTTTGAGGTCCAAAGACGGTGATTTTGGTCGAAAAACCGTCATTTTTGCATTTTTTTTAATAAAATTTTGCGAAGTTTTACGTTTAGGGGTAGCAAAAAACAGCTTACAAAAGCTTCCGAGATGGGGTTCTCAAGAAAAAAAGTTATGGTTTGAAACTGACTCGGCCGAGTGCCGTGCACGCAGAATATAAGAACTTTCAGGTGCATTGTGGGAATATAAATCTGTTTATTCCTTGGTAAAGCCCGAAAAAACACATGCATGTACGCACGACAATTGTTCGTCAACACACCCGAATTAATCAATACAAAGCGATTAATGTTTTAATTCTTGTAGTAGAGCAGCGGAGCAGACGTATCGACGGGTCGGGTGCATCAAGAAGAACGGCGCGTAGTCGGTTCTGGAAAAGGGCTTGGTAATGGGTTATCAGCGGGCGGGGGGGATTTTAACGGGAAGAAACTAATTTTGATTTTTTGTCTATATAGCGTATATTTATTGCTTTAGTAGTCTTTGTTTACTAGAAGGTTATAGAAATGAGTTCAAAAAAAAATTGGAAAATTCGAATATTTTAGCCGTTTTTCGTTTTTTTCATGGATTTTTGAGGAGAAGCCAGAACTTTTTGAGACTTTCTACAATTTTTAATGACTTTTTATATCTAAAAAATAGCCAATGCGGACAATATCCCTTTCTCATCCTTTTCTACTCTTCCAACCTGGCTCTTGTCCACTTCACCAGCCGCGTCCCGTCATCAAGAGGTATTCGCGTCCGATCTTGACGTCAATTTGCTGCTTCTTGCCGAGCGACGCGTGGAAAAATTCATCGTCCCCGATATCCATTGTCCAACGGAATTGATTGCGCACGAGGTAGATGAGCTGCTCGAGGCTCAGGTGCGGCCAGAAAGAGATCTCAAAAATATTGCGATTGGTAAAGGTCTTGTTTCGCCAAAGTCAGCTTAGGCTAGCCGTCTTTTGGGCATTTTCATACAGTTTTGACCAAAACACGAAGAATTATTTACCCGGATTCGCTGGTCCTTCAGAAGAGGCATTGCGCAAGCGGCGTCGATCAGCTCGTCGAAGATGTACAGTGCGCGTGACCACATGATGCTCAACTCCCGACCGTTGAAGGGGATGAGTTGAAGGCATTTGCGGAGATATTCGTCGCGATGCGGGTATACCTGCAAATGCGGCTCGTCTTGTTTCTCTAGATTTCACCTCGGCCGTTATCCAGCCACACAGCTTCCTGTTGGTGGCACCGCCGTTCTTCAACAGGTCACCCCAGCACGCCATGGCTTCGTCGGAAGGTTCCCCGCGAAGATGGAGGATCTTCCGGCACTTCAGCTTGAACAAGTTGATGAGGCCGGGCCAGATCGGATCTTTGTTCTGTAAAAAGACAGATTTCTGCAAGTTAGAACGCGCTACACTCGGACTTAGGCTTAGGCTTGACTTAGGCGGCCTTAGGCTTAGGTTTAGGCTTAGGCTTACAAGGGAAGGGCGAATGCGCGATCTCGAAATTCGAAAAACGCTCGCGGCTACCCCCAGGTTATCGACTACGGGGAACACGATGGTGTTGGCAGAATTTTCCACCGAGCCCTGTAGAGCAAGATACGGTACTTCCGGAAAAAATCCCCTGTTAGCTAAGGTGCATTAGGCGTGCTTATGTTTAGGCTTAGGCCGTGGCTTAAGCTTGGCTTAGGTCTTGGCTTAGCGGGCTTAGGCTTAGATTAGACTTTGGCTTAGGTGGGCAGCCCACCGCGGGCTGAAACTTAGGCTTAGGCATAGGCAATCACCATGGGTGATCTGCAGCCGTGTGACCTTCGCTTCTCCCACCTCAATCGGGAGGAGCTCCCAGTGCTCACAGTCGGGGAGGCAGATTCCCTCAGGGGAAGTAGGTGATCGTCGCGTCGAATACAATCTGGTCCAGGTCCCTTGCATTATTGATCAGCCACGCCGTCAGCACATCGTCGTAGAGGTGGCGATCGACACGGATCACTGTTTTCTTTGATCCGTCGGGCTGTCGGATGCCGCGGATCGACACGCGAGTCATCCTGAAATTGCGCTTACGTAAAAAAAGACAAAAATATCGATTTCTCGACGAATAATGGCCTTTTTTGACAAAATTTCGAGCTTTTAAAAAATTTTTCAAAATTTTGGATAGCTTTGCTAGTCAAAGCATAATCATATGTGACTCAAAAATATCTTGCAAATACTTAAGGTATTAGACGTGTCTAGATTAATAAAAAAATTAGCTTTTAAAATACTCGCAATTACTTTAGTGGGATTTCTTGAAGTATGAAAAAAAATTAGCTTTCTACAGCCCTCTCGATAACGCGAAAGCGCCGAATTTTTGAATGGTTATCGAGTCCCGGCATGATCAGCCATGCGGTATTGAATTCCAGCCAAAATCATGACAGCCAGAATCCCGACATTCAAAACCCGACGGCCAGGCAACGGAAATATCACATTCGTCTGTCATCTGTCGTGATTTCGGGACTTTGGCGTTTCCCGCGCGCATTTTTTACCGACTTACGAATATTCGCCGACGAGATGGCCGGTACAGACAAAGCGGGAAACAGGATCTTCGCGGCTGGGAAGAGCTCGTATCATCCAGGCCGTCGGCGACGATACGGAGCAGCGCGAGCGGCAAATCTTGGAGGCCGCGGCAGTGAGTGGCACCCCGTTTGTCGATGTACTCCACGTCCCGTTTCCCGATTGTTGCATTGCTCAGGAACGACAGCGCGTGGATGTAAGGCACGAATTCGTAGTCCACGATGTATCCCTCGGGCACCGTGTCGACGATCCCTCAGTATTTCGCGGCTCGCTTGACGCGCAGCTCCATCGCAGCATCGACTTCAACGAGGCCGAGCAGCGTCTTCGCATCCAGCGGCCAGACAACAGCTTGGAAGAGCACATCGGGAAGAGTTTGGAGGTCTTAAAAACAGACGCATAGCCAAGTGTCGCAAATAGCAAACAGCAAAAATTTTTATATTAATCGATATATATATTTGGCCTAAAAACCATCTAAAAATTAAAAATTGTTCAAAAAGTCGACATTCTGGTCAGAAAACGGAAAGTTTTGGTGAAAAAATCGATATTTTTTGTTTTGATTTTTATTTCTCTTAATCATTTCAAAAACTAGATTGAGATTTCTCGACGGAAATGGCCGGTTATGACCGAAATTTCGACCTTTCAGAAAAAACTCCTCAATCGTTTTCTCAAATAGTTTTTCTAGCTCAAAAAATGAGTTATTTTTACAAAAAACAGCGCAACAATATCTCTGGTAAAATGACTAGACGTTTTTGCGGACAGCATTATAAACAGGTTCGGATTGAAACCTGCCCCTTCAATGTACAAAAGTATTATAAATCGGAAACGACCAACTCGTTTGCAGGAGAAGGGTTCAGCAATGCAGTCGACTTACGAAGGAAGTTTCTGCAAAACAAGTGTACCGCAGGGTTCCTGGGCTATTTCTGGGATGGCGCTAGAAAGGCCTAGGTAAGTTATGACAAAGGCTTTAATAGCGTTTTTGGCAATACACAGCTATATTTAGACTAGAAAATCTATCTAAAACCCTGCAAAATTTTGAAAAAGTCGAAATTTTGGGTCAAAATCGAAGCTTCGCTTTCCTGGTCGAAAAACCGATGTTGTCTTAGGTTTTGATAGAATTTTGCGATATGCGGAGTTCCTTCCCCCCGGAGTATCAGAAGTAGCATTTCTGACCGCTGGCTGTCGACTCAGCAGCATCGCTCACATAATCGTGGTACTCTGGCTTTAGCACAAAACGATCTTTCATCAGTTCATCGGCGCGAAAGAAGAAATCAGGGCTGGTCGACGACGCGGTCGACGAGGATGGCGACGACGACGACATCGGTCAACTCGCCGGAAGGAAGGGTGGCCTCTGAAAGCATCCGAAAAATATCAGAACAGGGCGCTTTCGCATCTTTTGGCCTTCTAAAATCGTGCAAAGAATCTTCCAGCAAGTTCTGACGTAGAATTTCGATCATGTGGACTTTTACCACATTAAATTCTCGAGGCCAGCAGACAGGAATATTTTTAATTTTTGAAAAAGTAAAATGGGAAAAGGTTTCCGACTACGTTCGTGGCCACAAAGACCGTATTCAAAGAAAAAAGATACCGAGCAACGGCTTGCACCAAGTGACAAGGCTGAAGCCGAAGGAAAGTCTCGGAGAAAGTCGGCCGATATGATCAGGCTTATTTTGCCGACTGGGCCCGGATTCAGCCATAGTCCCACCAAGAACGCAATCACGGATTCCGTTAAAGTTTCCGAATCCTCCTCCATCGCCTAACTTATTTGGGAGCACGCATAGGTGGATATCGTATTCTACTTTTCTACTTATATTATTTTTTTATACTTTACTTCCGCTTCATGTACCACTTACGAATATTTCTATCACTTTCGGCTCCGTTTCTCGTCTCTCTCTCTACTCTCTCTCTCTCTCCCTCCCTCTCTTTCAGCTTTAAGCCTCTGACGAACTACGGGAATAGTGACAAATTTATTGAATATTCATGAATATTAATTACGGCTTGATCCATATCTCGCTGCATTGGTAGGCCACGTTGGCACCGCCACAATCGCAACCCGGTCTGCCCCACAGGCGAGGACACAGTGCGGATGGGCATGCCTTGATCTGTGTCTGCGGTGCTCCACTAAAAATTGAAGCTGCTACTGGACACTTTTTTGAAAGATCCTGGAATGGGTTTAGTTGATACGTTCCCAACCACCAACGACCGATGGCGGTAAGCGGGTCCGGGTGGAGACGCATGGCTTCTTCCGCGTTAGTCCGCGCCCGGTTTCCACAACTACCAGAGTGCAGTGCGCTCCACGCTCCCCCACTCGCCCCAGTACGTAGTGCACTTTTTCTAGAGTTCCTTTAAATTGTCGTACTACCAAGAAACCGTAGTTGTCGCCTTTTTCGTCGTTGTCTTTCTGGTTGTTGCTTTTGTGGTCTTTTTTGTTGCCTTGGTCGTCTTTTTTGTTATAGCATTGGGGGTGGTCTTCGTAGTTGTTGTGGTGGTTGTTGTTTGTGTTTTTCCTGCCTAAAACTTACAACATTACCAGTAGGTTTTTCGGTTCTTTGGGGGACCGGGGGGGAGTATTCCCGGGGGAAAACAAATTTTTTCGGACGAAAGCCTAGATTTTCTGTATAAAGTGCGGATGCGTTTTTAAAGTGTTTTAACTATCCCTTTGCATAAAAACTACACACATTTTAACCAAAAAAAATGTAAAAATTAAAAATTAGGTCGAAAATAGACCCAAAATGATTAAATTTTCGACTTTTTCAAACGATTTTTCTGAATTTTTCTGAAAGTTATTCTGCTTTAAATATAGTTAAAACTTACCCCACAAAACTATATTCGAAAACACTTTATATTTGATTACTAGGTCAACCGGGACCACCAGGAAAAATTGGTTTCCCCCAGGGAATACTTTCCCCCCCGGGGATCCTAAAGAACCGGTTTTTCACGACTGGCGCGTGCTTCTAATACACAGAGGGAAGTTCCCGGGTTTCCGCCGCCCGGCCGCCGGTACTTCGCCGACATTTCGCCGCCAGGCCGCCGCCCGGCGGCCGGCGGCGGCCGGGCGGCAACAGGCGGCGTCCAGGCGGCGGCCGGCGGCCCGCCGGGCGGCGGCCTGGCGGCGAAGTGGCGGCGGCCGGGCGGCGAAATGCTGGCCGCTACTTCGCCGGGATTTCGCCGCTATCGCCGCCTTATTGATTATTAACGGTTTATATTGTTAATATTCTATTTCGAGTAGTATTCCGTGGTTTCTTCCTAAGGTTCTTGATCCATATCAAGCTGGAACTGGTGAAGAAGGCCGCGTAGCCTGAAATATCGCTTATTTTGGTTACTGTTTTGATTTCTAGCTTAAAGTATTTAATTTTTAATGGGCTGCACACCTTTTGCCAGAAATTTATGCTTCCAAAGAGCTTTGAATTTTGTTTCACTATTAATATCTTATTTCACTTACCCGGACTCACCATTTCTCACCGAGTCGGCGGACGCCGTCATCATCAGCTCATGGAATAACAGCCACCTGAAAGTTTATTTTGTTATTATAATAGCCGCTGAATCTATCCATGCGAGTTGTTGTATCGAACTTACAGGCAGTGCGTGTGCGGGCTAATCATTATAACCTGACCGATGGTTATTAGCACGGAAGAAAATTGGAGGGGTTCCCGTAGGTTGGCCCCTTACCCCGCGGGGTTTTTTCCGAGCCTTTGCCTAGGTTCCCCGGGTTCGGCGGGGTTCGCAGACTCCGCGGAACCCGG